ATCCTCAACAGTCCTGGGCAGGTTTCGGTACGAGATTCATGACACTCTTCACAGCATATCGTACTTTGATATTAATAATCTTCCCTGAAAGCTAGTGATCGCTACGTTGCGTATGTTAACCAGCCCACCAAACCTTCTCTTACGACCAGCACCAAGACGAAAAATTCATAAACAAGCCATTTACTGATCCGCCACCCAACACAGCGCCCGCGACGGGAATGGCTTGTTGGCGTCAGCTTTCGTGCGTTTTGAGTTACTCTTCAGGTCTGGATGCCAGATGCTGCCAGGTATTGCTGTCGTCACAAAACCATTCCATGATGTCATCAAACAATGACGTAGTGGGGCGCATTTTTACGAACTTTAAAATTTTGCTACTTAGGGTGGTTGTTGAAGCTTGAAAGCTTACCAATAGTTACAAGTAAGCTTTTCCCGTCATATCTGATGCTTATCTCAATATATTCAAATGTGAAAAATTCCCTTTAATCTCCAGAGAGGGGGCCTGTGGCGGTGTTCCACGTATGCTGAACCAAATGTCGTTAGGCGCTCGTGTTTTGGCCCTTTCTCGTGGTGTTCGTGCATATCTAGTTGTGAGTCCAAGGTGCATGTTTGTGTTCTCATACTTGGTTATAGCTGTATTCTTCATTTATTCGAACACAAGATTTCCGTAATTGACAACTAGGAAACATGTATGACTTCTTGTATCATGTGTCACGAAACGCAATTCGTCTTCGAATCTTGCATAGCTTGCACAACGTTCGTTGAGAGCCCAGCGTTATATCTGAAAATCTTGCCCGCGAACACCAACGTGCTCATGCCATCGCGCCATCGTGCTCACGTATGGGAACCCATACGACCACATCGTGACGCGTGCACCTCTAAAGGTAGGACGCCCTCGCCATCTGGCTCCTGACCACGTGCAGGTCGCTCGCTGCGGGTTTGACCGCATGCCGGAGCTCGGCATTGTGCGTCCATTCAAAAACGGTTGGGCGTCGCCGCTTTACATGGCGCCCAAGAAGGAGGCTGGAGAATGGTAATCGTTGAAAAGGCTTTCAAGTGTTCAACGCCGCCACTGTTCAAGACAGAAGCCGGTGCATATCTGCAAGGGGTTTCAACCAACCTTTACGGTCGCACCATCTTTTCGAAGATCGACCAGGAATGAACGCACGGCTGCTGCTGCAGCTGCTGGTACGCACCTGGTACTAGCTGCTACGGCCGCTAGTACGTAGCTGGTACGAGCTTCGTTGGCTGATGAGAATGGATGACATATTACCATCGCTCCCTGCCGCGGGAAGCTGCTCCCATCCCCCCGCTTCACCAGCTGCCCGACCAAAGGCTGAAGTGATTAGCCCGCACGACTGGATGCCAGTGGCAGAAGACGCATTCCCACACATCAAAGCCGCCTTGTCGTGAGCCACTCAGCTGGCTCATCCGATGGGTGGCGCCGCACTGAGTTTGCAGGGTAACGCCTCGCAAGAGGAAATCTGTGCCGTCTTACTGCAGCACGTCGATGGCGAGTGGTCTCTCCTGGAGGTCTTCTCCAGGACGATGAGGCCGGCGGAGACAAGGAACAGCACTTTCGGGCGCGAGCTGCTCGCAGTCCACCTGGTGGTGAAACCCTTTCGGCACGTGCTGAAAGACTGACATTTCACCGTCTTTACTAACCATAAAGCGCTAGTGTCGACCAAGGGAGATTTGGCGTGGGCCGTATCTGCCAATTCACCACGGACGTTCGCCACGTGCCGGGCCGGGACAATCGCGCAGCAGATGCTCTCTCTCTCTCTCTCTCTCTCTCTCTCTCTCTCTCTCTCTCTCTCTCTCTCTCTCTCTCTCTCTCTCTCTCTCTCTCTCTCTCTCTCTCTCTCTCTCTCTCTCTCTCTCTCTCTCTCTCTCTCTCTCTCTCTCTCTCTCTCTCTCTCTCTCTCTCTCTCTCTCTCTCTCTCTCTCTCTCTCTCTCTCTCTCTCTCTCTCTCTCTCTCTCTCTCTCTCTCTCTCTCTCTCTCTCTCTCTCCTCTCTCTCTCTCTCTCTCTCTCTCTCTCTCTCTCTCTCTCTCTCTCTCTGACTGTGGCGCACTCGCTGCAATTCAGGGAGAGACCTATGTTCCTGACCTCAATTCCTGCAGAGGTCACACGGCCTACAAGTGCGTGCCGTGCCCTACCTAGTGGCAAGGCTGCGCTGTGTGATGAGTCGACCAATTTACCGAAACCGCTCGTTCCCCAACTCTCCGACGACCGTGCTTCCGGCTGTTCCACGACCTGTCAAAGTCCAGCATCCGCGCGAGACAGGAGTTGGTCTGCCTGCGAGTCGCATGGCCTGGTATGCTGCAGACATCTGTGACTGGGCAAGCACCTGTATCCCGTTTCAGCGAGCTAAAGCTCTCCGCCACATCCGTGCTGTGGCTGCGACCTGTACGCCACCGGCCGGCCGGTTCGATCATATCAACATCAACCTCGTCGGGCCTCTACCGTCGCCTGCTTGATATCTTGTTAAATTTTTCGGACGTGGCGACATGCTTTTCATCAATCTGAATGGTCATGAGTCTAGCAGCATTATTTTAATCTCCCTCGCGTGCTTAGGTTTGGGTTACAAGTCATTTAAAGGCGTGAAATGGTCCGAACGGACCGAAACGTCTTAAATCAAATACCGTAAAATAAAGTCAAGCGGAACGAGCGAGCCTCGTAGTTCGGTCACGCTTTCCCCGACCCCTTGACGTGGCCTACACTGCCTGGCATCAGGGGTATCCCACGCTGTTGTACCGAGGAGGAAGTCACTACGGCTATAATCATTGTCGCGTGTCCGGCCTGCTTGGACCCTTCATCACCACGTCTCAAGCACTGCATGTCTCCACAGTGCCGTGGTGGTTGACCCGAGCGCCGGTAGATGGTGCGCAGTTGATGGGTGCCAGGCAGTGTTGATCAGCTGTCAATGATGGCGTCAATCTTCCGAACTATCTCCTTAAATTTGGTCAGAACGTTGGTTGAGCAATCAGAAGACCGCGGTCAGGACCACAGCAGTTTTATCCTGCAGCGGCGGAAAGCGTATGCACCTCGCCACGCCGCGTCCGCGCCACGTCAAAACAGGATGAGCGCCACGCTTTTACTTGGCGCTGGCGCCTGAAGCAGGCGCGCGTCGCGAGTCAGGTGCGTTGACGCAGGAGATGCGCACCTGAGGCAGCCGCGCATCGCGAGTCAGGTGCGTTGACACGGGAGGGGCGGGGCACGGGGCCAGCATCGGCACCGCACATGCGTCGCGTCTCCTGACGCAGGCCATTACGGATTTGACACTTTCAGGGTGTCGGCGCCGGGTGTGGCGGACAAGTGGTGCGCTCTTTTTCTCCGGTGGTGAAGACTCTTGATGTGGCTAGTCTTACCTCGGCCTCTACGAAGAAGGCGTGGGATTGTTGCGTGGTCGAAGTTATACAGGTACGCGTTCCCTGAGGTTTAAGCCTGGCATTTGTCAACTTTTTCTAGCGCACGGCGCCTTGCCTTCATGAGTCCGGTACATTCTTTCAACACACCGGCCTCCAAATTGGTCATGCAAGATCTGCGTCCATCCCGGTGCGGAGGCTAGGGCGTTCGGGTCAAGGTGTATGAACGCCACTCATCTAGAGAATGTTATACATCAAAATGTTACGCATCTTTAATGTCACACATCTAGAGACGTGTAGCATTCAAGAATGCAACTCAACTGGCGCGTGTACGCAAGGCAATGACGACCTGCTCGCCCCGCTAGCCACCCCAGGGCTGGTAACGGCTGGAAGATTTCGTCAAAGCTACTGCGCCGCCCGCGCCGTGGTGCTGCCGTGTTCCACACGCGATGTGTCGCTAACAGCAGCGGATTTGTACCGCTGGACCATGGAGCACGACCGAGCAGTGTTCGTGGACGCCGTGTCGATCATAGCGGGTGTCATGGACCCCGGCGACACGCCGCTAAAGATAGCCCTACCGACCACCCTGCCTTTTCACGAGGCAAAGCGGCCGCGCTCATGGATTTGCTGTCGTGCAGTCTCTATGACGTCACATCGTACTCGGACAATGTCGGTGTATTGAAGAGCCTGGGAAGGTGCGGCCCCCACACCCTTGGCCGCCCTTGGCGTCATGCGCTAAAACAAGAAGGCGGCGTGATAGGCCAGCCCCAAAACTCCAGAGAATGTTTCTTGTATACCCCATGAGGCATATACCGCATACACTGGGTGCATGCCGGCTCCTACCGCTGGGTGTGACTTGGGTACCTCGTCCAGCAGGCTGCAGCCTGTTGATCCAGAGTTTGTGACATCGTGACCGCGGCGTGACGTTAACGTGACGGAGCACAAAGCTTCCGGTCGCTGTGTGCTGCCGGCTCCAGTGCTTTTGTCCAGAGCTGCTGCCTTACGACGCCGGTGCGCCGTTAACGTCACTGGCTGCTAGCTAAAGGCCGCGGCGTGCAGCGAACTCCGGTCGGCTGGCCTCGGGTATGTTGACGTCACGGCTGCAGAGCAGCGGGTGCGGCCAAACGTGCTGAGAGTCAACCTCTGCTTTCGGGCGCCATCTGCTGGGAGTACTGGCGGGCCTGCCGGCAACGGGCACCGGCGAACCTCCCCACACAGAGACACAACAATTGGGGTTTGTGGGGTCCAGGCTGGAAATGATCAAATGTACGTTAAAAGGAAATTACCCTGCAATCAGCAGCCTTATTAACATCAGTTAACTAGTAATGGCATCACCGCAATGCTTTAGGCCACGGGACACCAATCCGCACCCCAGAATTCCCGCACATGCACAGCCCATTTCCAAATCAAAATATTCCCAATGTGTCTGTGATGTGGACCCATCACAGTCCAGCGTTTATTGTTGGGTTGGATAATGTTGGGTGCATGCGGGATTTAGATCAGTGCAGAAATTGTATGTGTGGTATGAATGGTTTTGAGTATTCCTCCGGCACCGGCCGATTATCCACCTGCGCATGAAGCGTAGGTACATAGAGTCTCAAAAAAGTTATTTCTAGAAAAAAAACTAAGCGACTCTCAGCAAAACTCATCTTTATTGATAAAATACTAAAGATACTAAAGTGTAGCGCACTGCTGTCAACAGACCTCACCGTCGCCGTCGCCTGTAAGAGGCGTTGCAGAGGCCTCCGTCCCGCCGGCCTTACAGAGGCCTCCGTCCTGCCACCTTACAGAAATCTCCATCCCGCCGGCCTTACAGAGGCCTACATCCGTCGGCCTTACAAAGGCCCCGGTCCCACCACCTTACAGGGCCTTCGTCCCGCCGCCTTACAGAGGCTTCCGTCCCACCGGCCTTGCAGAGGCCACCGTCCCGCCGTCTGGGTTCCCGTCACGGTCAGCCGTCTTCATGCCTCTCTCTGCAGCGCGGCCAGGGCGGCTGTGAACTCCTCCTGCTCCAGCATGCCGTCGCCGTCGGCGTCGGCATGCTGCAGGACATAGCGCACGTGCTCGAGCTGCGGGTGTCCGCTGAGCAGCGACGGCGCCACCTTCAGCGCCTGCTGCTGCGTCAGCTGGCCGTTGCCGTCTGTGTCCTCGGCGCGGAAGGCGATGGGCACGACCTCGGCCGGCGGGGGCTCGTTGACGGCCCGCTGGAAGTCGGCCAGGGTGACGAAGCCGTCGCCGTCGCCGTCCATGAGCGAGATGGTGTGCCGCACATCGGCGACGCTGAGGTGCGGCGCGCCGGCCCGTATGATGGGCTCGAGCTCGGCCGGCGAGAGGCGGCCGCCGCCGTCGGCGCCCAACTGGCCCAGCATGTCCTGGAACGCCTGCTGCACCTCGTCGCCGTCGAGGCCCATGGGCATGGCGGCGCCCAGCGCGCCCGTCTGCGAGTGGAGGAGGCGCGCGAGGAGGGTGACGGTCTGCCTGTCCTCACCGCCATCAGTACACAGTCTCACATGGCCAGGAAGATCACCAGCGAGGCACGCTTGACGACACTTAGCGGCCTGCGCAAGCGAACGTCAGGTGCCGTTATGACGGCATCGCTCACTGGCTTGGCTCTGACGTCACACGGTCTCACTGCCCTGTCGTAGATTGTCCACTCACCAGTGCGATGGCAGCGACCAGCTTCAGCATTGTGCTCGACTGTGTTCGGCTGGAACGGTCAAGGCAGACGCGCAGTATGCCGGTGTGAAGGATGCTCGGCAGACGGCCACCGCGGCCCGCCTTTATATGCATTGGCGGTACGTCCGCCTGCAGCGGCAGCGGCGTCACCAGGAATGCAACGCTGGGGGTCACGCAGGGATGCGGCACGCTGGTGTGCCTCCGCCCCGCCGTGACCCTGTGTCATTGCGTGAGCCCACCGCGGCGCCGTATGTCAGGAGACGGGGCGGGATCATCGGCCGGCATGACCTGTCGGCCCCGCATAGCGACGCCGCTGGAGCCGCCACTGCGCGGCCAACGGGCCGGCAGTGTGATGTTATGCTGCTGCTCAGTCATGAGAGCTATGCAGGATGGCGCGTGTTGGCCACAAGGGTGTGTCTAGTAGGCAGATATTGTCGCTAGCCCCAGGGTCTGCCCCTGACGGAAAGCAAGTTGTTGGGACTTTCGATCGGGCTCGGTGGGTACGGTGAGCACCACAGATTGACGCATTGCACGTGCCAAGCTAACGACGCTGCGAAGTTGATAGCTGACATAATGGTGTATTTTCCCCCAAAGGTTGCAGTTATCTTGTTCTCAAAGAAGCTGTGATTTTTCCCATGCATGAAAAGCTCTGGCTTTCACGGGTCATTTAGGTTAAATGTGATCAGACCAGACTATCACGATTCCCTTCAGCTTCCGGCCTGAGGTACTTTTAAGCAAGCTCATTTTCATCGGGTGAACCATTCTTAACTGCATCAAAAAACCGCGGCATCAAGATGTTGTCAAACCTTTTTGTCATGAAAGCGGGACTATCACGATTCCCTTCAACATTTACCCTAAGGAGCCACGTAGCACGTGCGGCTGCAACACGGGAATATAAGCCGCTCAGGGTCATTCTAACGCAGGATTAAAAGAAGCCCTTGATACTCCGGCTGTACCAACCTCATCTTGACCTCTTGACCTCTGGTGGGCAAGGGCTTTGAATGCAGTGAAAAAATGGTTTAAACCTCGGAATGAGCATGACGGTGATAAGTGGCTTAAAGTGAGATTTAAACGAAATCGTAATATTCTAATCTTGACGACACTGAACTGTAATGACCTCTTAAGCCCAGAATTTGTGATGCAGTGAAAGATGGCTTGCACCATGGGAATGTATTAGTTACGAAGTACTTTAGTACAAAGGCTGAAGGAAGTCATGATAAAACTTTTCATGATTTTCAGTTTGGACGAACTCTGAATGCCACATTTTTCAATGCAGTGGTAAACGCTTTGAACCGTGGAAATGAGGTGACGCTTGCCAAGTGGTTAGCGCGTCGGACTCCCACGAGAGGGGGGGGGGGGAGGGGCCGTGCTCCAAACCCAGCTGTTTCATCGCCCCTGAGTGCTAATATTGCCAGCGCGGTCGCTGGTTTTTCACGAATAAAGATGATGACATGCGTCGCGTTACCGTAAAACAACAATATGGGATTGACGTTGTTCGGTGTAATCTGAGATCAAATTTTGAAGAAAGTAAAGACAGCCAGCCTGTGGTTTTCCTAAACATGTATGACCTGCTGAAAGCCAGAGTGTCTGATGTAGTACAAAAATTGTTTGCACGATGAGAATGGACTTGTTGAGAAGCATGCTAGGGCAGAGTTTCAAGGAAATCTCGATGGGACGGTTTTGATAACCTTGAAGCTTGACGAGCAAAGGGTCACAGCTTTTATGCAATGGAAAATAGCTTGCGTTGGGAGAATGGGCCCGTTGGTAAATACATTCGAGCAAAGTTTGAAGGAAACTGTAATAGCCCGAAATCACGACCCCAAACTGTGACGGCCCCTGAAAGTCAGAGTTTTCGATGTAATGAAACATGATTGGCGGCGTGAAAACGGCCTCTCAGAAGCCATCTTAGCTCTTCTAGCTTTATCAGCTGAAATATCTTAGGTCGAGGTAACGACCCTTAATGTAGAGAGAGGCACTATTCAAACGACGTTGTAGTGATATCTGACGATTAAATTGACGGCACTCAGCATTTTAAACTCCGCTCAACCTTACAAGTACTGGGCTCATCCACAAGCGCGATAATCCTCATGAGTGTTGTAATATTTAACAATTATCATTTAGCATTACAGCGTCGCTTAACCAGCAAACTGAATGTCGTTAAATCAACATAAGAACTTGTCACGCACAATGTTGAAAAGTCAAGTGCTGAAGGCCTTTTTTAAACCAAGTTTTCCACCTTTGATGACCTTGAAATATGACTTTTTTAGTCCAAATTTGTATTCGGTGGAAAAGGTTTTCACTGTGGAAACAGCCTAGTGAGAAGTACCTCAAGCCTAATTTTGTACAAAATCGTGAACGTCCAGCTTTGATGACCTGATATTTCGACGACCTCTGGGGGCCACAGTTTTTGATGTAACGGAAAATAGCTACATCATGGGAATGAGATCTTTTTGAGATCTTAGGTACTTTTTAATACCTATGCACAAAGTTTGAAGGACATCGTCATAGTCTGGTTTTGACAACCTCGAAATTTGATTATTTCTGGAGGTCAGAGCTTTTGATGCAATATGATAATGTTTGTACCATGAGAATGAGTTTGTTGACAAGTATCTTGTGGCGAAGTTTGAACAAAATAATAAGATCCTTATGCTGAATGTGAAATCGAATGAAACTATGAGCGGTCTTGACATGTATGGGTATTTCCTGAACGTCGTACCTTTGCCCTGAATCGTACTCATCCACCGAACCCAGCCCTCCATCCATCCAATATGGGCACCCATGGGCTTACCAAACCGGTAGATGCCGATGATTCGGGACGCGGTCTCGTGGCAGCTCTAGTTCGTATTGCGGGGTTCGGCGGCGGCAGACAGCCGGGGGAAACACCACGCGCGGATAAACGCACGGGAACTGCGGCCTGCGCAGTCCGGAGCGGAATGACGCCACTCGATGTGCCGGAGTGAGGTCACTGTCTGCATGCGGCGCCTACTTTGCTCGAAGCGTGCCGGGTGTTCAGTAAGTACTTGACGTGCGGACATGTTTCTGGATCGTCTGGATTCGTGAACTACGCTGAGCGTGTTTAACTAACACTTCGTCGCGCATTAAACAAAGTGTTCCACATTTGGGGACATTGAGGTAAGCATCATATATGATGAAGTAAGCTCACTTGTAACGGATGGTGTGCTCGTAAGTGCAAAATACTGCATTAGACAACAAAATTCCATTATTCGGTAAATAAGCTCCTTGATACGTCATCGTTTGATTCAGTCATGGAGTGTTCCCATGACGTGGAAGTCGCTGTCAGATGGCAGTGTTAACATTGTCACTATAGCGGGTGGGCTGACGTACCTGCAGTTCTTCAACTTGCCGACAGGTGACGTACGTGTGGGTGCATGTTTGCCAACCCCTACTATCGTTATGTGCGCGTGTTTCGGGTCTTTGTAGCGGTGTTCTAGTACACTGGTCCAGGATTTCATATTGTTTATTTGCATTCACATCCACAGCATGTGCCACGCTTTCGGCTCTTACCAAACATATCGGCCAAGTCCTGGTATGGATAAGCCAGCTTTGCGAGAAGTGCAGATATCAGTTATCATGACCAAAATAGTGTTTCATTATTAAAAATATTGTTCCGAATTGTTCATCACGAATGTGATCTTTCCGCAAACTGACCTCGAGCGCCTTCCGGTGATGTTATTCCATTCCAGTCACCGGTGTTTATTATTCCCCGGATAAGCTGAGCCGCAGGGTGTCCTCAGAGCAGAGTAAAATTACTCTGTGCTTTACGGGCGCCTGCTCGTGACTCCCAAACATGACTCAGCAGAAACTGTATTTTGAAAACGCAGCAGAATGAAGCGCATCGCTGTCAAAGATGCCTGGTGATCACCGTAAGATGTTCTATTCCCAGCACCTGTTGGAAAGTGTGCATCATGCTAAGCATGTGAATACAGTGATGGTCTCGTCAGCTGTGTGGAGCTTCTAAGCGCAAAACTGTGTCGTTCTTGATGTTTTGGTTTCCATTTCTTTAGCACGCGCCCGGGTGGCCGGCTAGGGGAGCGAAGGGCCGGGTGGCTCTTCGCTGCTGTGGGGGTCAATTTGACCCCCCCCCCCCTCCCTAAAAGATCTCGGGAACTAAGAAAGCTAGACACCAAATTTACAGGGTGTCTTGACCTAAGCGTGAACTCACTTAGGTCAAAGTTTGATCTTCCTAGGTCATGACCTTCAGGTTAAATAGGGTCAAACAAGGTCAAATTCCAGGTTGGTCTCTGAAGTGCCCCCAGAACCTAGGCAACTGTTTCTGAGCAAAAGGTCACAAGCCCATTTGAGGTCAGTGACCTTGTTTGACCTTTTGAAGGTCATGGCGACCAAATTCATACAAGGCTGCTCTGAGTTTTGCATTTGAATAAGCGACAAAGACTATGCTAGGCAGTATGTTCCTAAAACAAAATGTTGACCCGGGTCATCTTAGGCCATTGACCTGTTCTGACCTCTAAGAAGTTAATGGAAGATGTATAATGCGATTCCTGCTGTCAATGAGTTTGAAATGAGCACCACAAACTCTCTCTTACAGCAAGTCCTAGAGTAACAAATCAGGTTGGCTTTGACCTTGGTTTGACTTTCATACCTGACCTTAGGTCACCGTTATTTGCTCATTCAATGTTTGTGGTGCCTAAGAAAGCATCTGAGAGATGTATAGCTCCGTCAAACACTCCGTTATTGTATCAGATTGGACGATTCCCTAGAAATTGCCTTCGCTGAAACCATGGCCTGATTCTGACCTGCCATAGGTTAGCGACCTTACAAGGTACATCTAAATTTGTTTTGTCAAGCAATCTGCTATTTAATTGTCTACAGCTACGCAAAATTTGTTGTGGCTACGCCCGGCGGTTCAGAAACCATTCCTAAAAAACCTTCGAGGGGTCAAGTTGACCTGCCCCACCCGAGCGCTTGTTAAGCCTGCTGAGCTTTATCCGCTCGGTATTTTGTAAGACGATAATCTTGATACTTGTCTTACTTTTGGTCGATCATATATTTTCCATTAGGTACGTCTGATTTGTCCTCCCTTTATTT